AAAAAAAAAAAAAAAAAAAAAAAGACAAAAGACAAAAGGGAAATACAAGGGAAAACTCCAGCACCGCCCCTCCTTTTCTATCCGCTCGCTGTCTCTCCTATGGTCGGAGACATGAAAAAGAAATACAGAGTCAAAAGGTTGAAGAAAAGAGTAAGATTTGAAACCATGCTACCTACTTGCCCCGATCCTATAATCCACAAACAAACATACACGCACGCACGCACACTATATTACCGTAATATATCCTGGACCTTGGTCCGGAGCTCGTTGGCTACGCGCAACTGATCCGGCGGGATGCCGCCGCCTTGTTGGATGAGGAGGAGGGTCTCAAGGACGCGGTTAGCGGCGGTGTCGCTTCCAAAGACACGGCCGCCGGGGCGGACGGTCTCGTGGTACCAATGCTGGATGAGGTAGAGGAGGTCCTTGGCGATGTATCTCCGGTTGTTGCCCTGGAAGGGCGCTTCGTCTGTGTAGTACATGCCCTCGAGGACGGTGAAGATGGTCTCGTGTGCGACGTTCAGGTCGAGGAGGAGGTCGACGATCCACGTCGGGGGGCCAACGTCACGCTGGTGCTCCAGGGCGTAGCGCTCGAGCATGGGCAGGATGATCGGAATGGGCATGATGGAGTCTGACATACGAAGTCGGCCGCCCAGACTACGCACCTTGTCGATCACCGCTTCGTAGGGCTGGGACTCGCCCTGCTCCAAGACCCGGTTGTGAAGGTCTTGCAGCAGATGTTGCCATGTGGACTTGATGTCAGCCGCGTTGCGGTGGTCGGCGTGGAAGAAGATCTGGAGGCAGATATCGTAGTAGCTTCCGGGATCGGCGATATTGTTAAAGAGCTGATTGGCATTAGAAAATCTGGGAAATGACCGGGGGAAAGACAATTTTTGAGGTTAACAACTTACATAACTGATGTCCCTGATAGCCCCGTCCACTTCCTTCAAGACCTGGCCTTTGGCTTCCGGCGCAACCCGGGGATCGTCTTTCAGGCGTTGCAAGATATCGTCTTGAATATCGGCAACATCAATCAGATTAGAGGTTTCCTGGACCAGTCTTTGACGAGCCTGTCGGCTAACATCCGGGGTGAATATTGATGCGTTGGCCCGAGCCCATCCTAGGTACTCGATCCTGCGGCTCAAGGGAATGTTGAAGCTGCTCTGCGCAAGCTGGAGTTGAACCTTGGCTGCTTCGAAAAATCGTTCGGACTGCGCAAAATAACGCCAGAGAAGATCGGCGTGTTCAATGTCATCATCGGCTTTGCGCTCAAGGTAGGTGACTACGAAGGGGGAGTCACTCTGGAGCAGTCGCTCACTCCAACCCTGTTCGAGGTACCAATCATATAGGGTAGTCAAAAACACCTCATCTCGAGAGTCGGAAACCACTCCATATGCTTCATTCCTGCGTTTGGCCATTACTGTCAACTGTCCATCAACAATACCGATATCCTTAGCGGTATGCCTGTCGACCGCAATGATGACCCTGAATATGAGATCATAGCATTGCTTTCGATACTGGAAGTACTCAATGCGAGTATCCTTGAGATGGAAATGTCAGCCATCAAGGAAATGGTTAAGATCAAAAGGGAACTTACACTAGCAGGGCGACCATCCACAATCCATGCAAGTGCCAGATTGGCCTTGTCTGAGCGAGCGGCCACATTCAAAGCCAGTTGAATTGCGCCTGCAGTACTTTTTTTAGCGGCGTTCCTTGTGCTCCAATACGAACACGGGGATCATACCTGCGAAGAACTCATTCTTGATGTAGCTTTCGACTGCAGAGACCAGGTAGTCCATTGGCAGATTGTCGGATACCTGCTGAAACAAGTGAAGGCTCTCATTCAGCAAATTGCGTCCAAGCTCCGAATTGGAGCCTACTTCAGTGGCTCGTTTCAACATCTCCTGGGCCTTGAAGATCACGACATCCTCCGCACTACAGAAGCTGCCGCATCGCCGCCTTAGAGCATCGGCTACCGTTTCGACATTAGATCCCTTTGCAATGTTCCGATTCACGATGCCCTTCACCAGCTCCTTGGCAATATCGTGGCCCTTAGTGGTGCTGAACAGCTGCTCATACGTGAGTTTCATGAAGCGCTCCTTCGACTCCGCTGGCAAGGTGGCCACAATTTCATCCACGCGTTCATCAAATAGAACCGAAACAAAGGAAATGCCTTCGATGGTGTGAGATACAAGTTGAACAAGCGAATGCAGTGCGCGATGTTCAGCTTGCAGGGCAGTCTCTTCCTGTTTCGTCGAGACCCGAGTCAGAGCCTCCGGGCCGCTCAGCCCTTCAATAAAGTTCTTATTAGTCTTGAAGAACTCTTGCAGAGCAGTCAGATCACGCTGAATAGCTTTCAGCTTGGCAGAAGGCACTGATGAAACGATGGTCTCCGTGCCGATGGGCGGCGTCTCGGACTTTTCGAACTTGGCAATCTCTTTCTTCCAGATAGAGCGTAGTAATCTCGAGATGTAGAGCGCGATGCCCGCATGCCGCGGCGAGGGAAGGACGGTGTCGATGGCAGGTGTGGTACTGTCGGCCACGACATTTTCGTTCATCATAGGCTTGCCCCCGTGGTCAATCAAGACCTTGCGTGCAAACTCCAAAACATGTGGATCATTTATTTGGGTGAGTCTAGAATCACTAGACACCTCCACTCCTTGACCGCAAGCGACCGCCAGAGCCGTAGCAACGGTCTCGCTCCGGCCATATATGCGGATGAAATTTTTGACCATACCCTCCAATCCTTCATCGCCCTCTCCACCGATTCGAACCAACGCGGCGAACACATCGACGAGACGCCGTCTGCGAATAATGTGAATACCATTATTGGTAAGAATGGCAATTTCGGCCACAGGCTCGTCATACTGAATAGCCAGTTCATTGCCGAACCCACTGAAAGCCATGGCGGCCTCGGTGGGTGGGGAACAGACCCCGACATCTTCCGCTCTGCTACCCAATGATACCCATACTGCTGTCTCACCAGCCTTGGGACTGACAGTCTCTTGAGCGCGAGCGACTCGTCCGGAGTCAGGGGCGGAAATGAAGAGAGAGTCCGATGCGGCCGAGTCCTTGGAGGTGAAGCAGAAAAAGTGGCCGGGCGGATACCGTACGGCAAACCGAGTGGGCTGAAGAGTGTGAACAGGGATTCTCGCTGCCACTGTAGGGTGATAGCGTGCCTGTCCTTGAAGACCTTGCGAGGCTGCCTGTTGAGCCGAGGGAGCGGTGTCCAAGGGAGGTGTTTTCACATGATGAGCTTGCATGCTTGTGGGAGCACTTGCGCCATTTGGTGCTGAGGCCCAGCTGTAGGGACCAGTAGCACTGAGGTAGATCCGATAGCCTGTCGCAGTAGTGGCCATCAGATGGTACCGGGACGCTTCCGCTGCAAGAATGGGACTGATAGAAACAATGGGAACTCTGGGGTTGAGGGTTTCGTTGGACGCGATAATATGTCCGATATTGGCGTATATGTCTTGCCCCTTTTTTGTGATCGCAAGAGCTAGACTTCCGTCGGGCTTCATATGAAAGACCCTGATCGTGGACAGCGACGAGAGGGTGTAGAGCAGCTTCCTCGTGTCGTCAATCTCCATTTGCGCGACATGTTCATTTTGTTGGGTAAAGCTCAGCGAGGGAGCCAAGGCGGCGAGACGAGAGCTAGTATGATTGACCTTTGAGCAGCGACCCTTGAACCACTTCTCCTCTTGCTGATAGACGAGCTCGTAGACATCATTGTCGGAGATACCGCCGAAAAAAATGCGTCCAGTCGAATCGGATGAGGCGACTTGGTCAATCTCCAGACCTCGAATTGAGACCGACATGCCAGTCTGATACAGCGTTACTTGTCGTGCACCTCCAGGGGTGGTCTCGCAGCCCATTCCCAGCAGGATAACATCGGCCGTGGTAGATATTACGAGCAAGTGCGTGATACTAGGCAGAAACACTTTCGGGCGAGGCTTCGCTAGCTTGACGGTGATAATACTGTTTGGTTGATCCTCGAATCCAACTAACTGCGGGTTGGGGTGGGTGTAGTCCCAGATATAAAGAGCATTGTCGATTGCGACCCAGGCGTGATTCAACTCGGCAAATAGTCCCATGTTCGTCGATACTTGTGCTCTGTTGTATTGGTCGAAGATCTGGTCGGGGATGTTGTACATCTTCACCTTCTGAAAAGGAGCCCATGGTGAGGATGTGGGGAGATCATAATCGGACGAGAATCCTTCTGCACAGGAGGGTCAGCCGGGTCCCTGCCAACGGTGCGACCACAGTGGTCAACTTACGAGACAGAGAGTTGTCCAAGTCTGGGTAACGAGATTCTTGGGCAAGAGTTTCATTAATAGTCCGCGCAGCACGCTGCTCCGTGCTCACTAAGCTCTGTTTGGGCTTTGTTTGGACCGCAGTGAAGTTGGGAAGCTGAATGGGGGACGGCGGATCGTTTGGGGCTGCGGCTTGTTGGGGGCTCGATGCCGACGCCGTCGCGCCAGCATTGGGTGCTGGTGTTTGGTAGTATGCGCCAGGAAGTGGCCTCTGAGGGGTGAGAGTCGGTAGAGATGGGTATGACATGATGCCGGCAGTAGACGGCGACCGTACGAGGCGGTTTGGGCTATGTATGGCGCTCTCCCCGGAGAGGTGGCTGGGAGATTCGGAGATGGCAGCGCAATGATGCGACGAAGGAAGACTCGGTCAAAGAAAGGAACAGAGGTCGTGGAGAGATGATACAAAGGGATATTGCAATAGAAGAAGGAACACCAATGGGGGGCGCAGGGAGTGGTGTTCCGCCACGAGGATGGTGTGTTTAACCGGGTCGAAGAACAGGCATGAAGCTGTGGATTGAGCAGGATGAGAAACAAAAATGTGCACGGGCCCCGGGCGGAGGGCGGACGGAGAGCTTCTCTGCCGCCTTGGAAAGATTATCATGCTCGATTTTCTACGGGTCCGACAGCGTCATTAGTTCCACTCTACTAGAACAACAAAATCAATTCGCATTCGCATTCCATTACTTCCTTCTAGTCTGTCTTTTCGTAATTCTGAACATGTTCCCAGCTCTGCGATCCACCTCGTCCCGTCTGGGTTTGCGCCTGGTGCGCTGGAACTCGACCGACAGCCCAGTCTTGCCGCCTTTGATGACCAAGCTCAGAACTGACCTCAAGACTGCTATGAGGGCCAAGGATACTCCTCGGTATGTCCAATAAGACCTACTAATTGACACACGCGACTTGGCTGATTAGGCGAACTAACGCGCGCTTCTCAGGCTGAACGTTGTCCGCGCTCTCATCTCCGAAACCAACAACGCCGCAAAGACCTCCTCTCCGATTCAAACCGATATCCAGCTCCTGTCTCTTATTCGGAAACGTATCGCTGCCTCCAAGGATGCCATTGAGGAGTTCAAGACTGAGAATCGCCCAGAGCTTCAAGAGCTTGAGGAGAAGCAGGTGACAGTCTTGGAGGAATACGGTGCCCAGGTGGAAACCATGAGCGCGGACGACATCAAACAAGTTGTCTCCCAGACTCTCTCCAGCATGAAGGAGGCTGGCCAGAAGGTCGAAATTGGCATTGTTCTCAAGTCTCTCTTCGATGCTGGTGGTGCGTTGGCGGGCAAGCCGGCTGACAGGTCCGAAACTGCAAGAATTGTCAAGGACGCTGTTACTGCCTTCAAGAAGAACTAAAACTGACATGTATATTACCTCCTGTACGATTACAAAAACGGCGATATGATGATACCGAGGTTAATCCACCGAAGGCGGGGGTTAGACATGCCGTTTCTGGCAATATATGTATTAACAATAAATGTGCTAATAAGTGAATTACGGCAAGTCTAGAATGCGCTGTTATGAGAATGCGAGATGATATAGTGCAGAACATTTCGCAGATGATTAAGTGTTAGAATTTGAGAAGATCCATGCATATGCGCGGTGGCCGTGTAATATTCCAACAAAGAAGTCCTTCAGCGCCATTCCCTATGATGATTTGTGTCCATGATCCCAACCCGAATCCCTTGTTTATTACCTAGTAAGTCAAATCAAACTCCAGATTCCGTCCCGATTAACTTGCCATTGTACCGTCCATCCGAAAAAGAATCATGTCGATATTATTGTAGTTTACGAGCAGAAAACGGTGATTCCACCTATGGCAGTCATAATAACACCGAGCCACAGCAAGCGATCGGGATCAATGACCTTCTCCGTGGACACAAAGCCCTCCAAGCTGAAGTATGACTTGGTGTCTCCGCTCATTTGGCGTTTTTGCTTCTTAACCTTTGAAGTGATCGGGTTCAGGACTCCTGTAGGTAGTATTTGTGGTGGCCTGTACACGAGGTACATGGGATGCATAGGCGATCCGTCATGAGCGTACAGGTCCAGGCGTGGGATATCATGATATGGGTCTACCGAGATAGTAAAGGACTGCAGCTTTTAGCTAGCTTGCCTTGAATGGATCAACCAGGGAAACATACCTTGAACTCCTCTGTCTGGTTATATCTCGTGTAGGACGTCAAAGGTGTAGCGCATGGATCCGAAACCAGCTGGCGTCCATCAACCGCAATTGGGGTTAACACCAGGGATCCATCGCTCTGCGCAGTGTATGTACCGTGCTGCCATTGCATTAAACCCCTTGGGCAAGCTGGATCTTGGGCTGTTGGATTGTTTACACGTCAGATTGCGACCCCAGCAAGACAGAGGGTGAAAAGGCACTGACGATTGGCTATTGCGCGGTAGTAAGCCTCTTCATAGAATCCATCCGCGGTGAACGAGTATGAGATGCCGGTCAGGTTTGGCTCCAGAAATCTGTCGTTGATTGGATCATAGAATCCCTAGAGGCAAGGTCGAGTGTCAGCCAGTCCGGCGATTCTGATGTGTCGACTGAGATCCCTAGTAAACAATGCTTTGGATAGAACGAGAGGAGTGTAGCATACCGGACCTGTCACAACCTTACGGGACTTTGTCGTCCAGGTCCCTACTAGATCAGAAACACTGGCCGCACTGGCAGCCGTCAGGAGGAGGCTGCAAAGAAAGTAGCCCGCAATCATCGCGAGTTTTGCCAGAAGGAAAGATGAAAGCAAAGAAGAGAGGTGTTAGATAGTAGAAGAATGCCTGCATGCCCTGCCTGCCGCCAAAGGGCGCAGGCGACCCTTGAATGGGGGGGTGCCGTACAGTCAGGACCTTAGGTATGTGCAACAACCAGGGCCCTGCTGATCAACAACCATGCACATCATGGAAACATGCCAAGCCACGCGGTTCCAGTCATTGCGATACCTCGGACACAGTTACAAACAATAAGCGGAACTTCCTGTCTTTATCATCCTACCTCAATTACAATCCACTGGTGATCCGCCCACAACTATTTCCTATCGCTATCTTATCCCTATAGCTCAATCGCAAGGATGATGGCTGGTCTACAGGCGGCGAAGAAGGACCTCCGGCGGAGAATGCGGGATGCGCTGCACAAGATCCCCGCCGATTCCATCACAAATCAATGTCAGCTCAGCGCCATGACCTTCAAAACTCGATCTATGCAAACGCTGACCTCTACCAGCGAGAGTCGTCGCCAACAGGCTGTTCGCTCTCCAGGAATACCAGGATGCAAGGAGGATAGGGGTTTATCTCTCCATGCCGGCGGGGGAATTATCCACCACGGCCATCGTTCGGGATGCTCTGGCAAGTGGTAAGGAGGTCTTCGTACCTTATATACACAAACTCGAGTTATCCAAACAGTCGAGGACCTCCGTTATGGACATGCTCAAGCTAGAGTCGATGGAAGAATTCGAGGCTCTCCAGCCCGACAAATGGGGCATCCCGTCGCTGTCTGAGGTCCAAGTACTCAGTAAGATGAATTGCTTTGGGGGCAAAGGGGTCTCGCCCCAACCAGAAGACGCTACAAAAGGGCCTTACGGGCTCGACTTGATTGTGATGCCAGGAATGGCATTTGACGAGGGGCTCAGGAGATTAGGGCATGGTAAAGGCTATTATGATCATTTTCTGACGAGGTACTCAAGAGAGGGGGCTGCAAGTGAGTCAACGAAGCCGAAGTTGCCCTTCCTTGGTAAGGAACAAGCACCCTGACACCAACGTAACCAACCATGAAACAGCCTGTTACTAAGTATCGCGCAGTTGCCCTATCTCTCAAGGAGCAAATGCTTCTCCCGACCGAAGAGATACCGGTAGCGGATCATGACTGGCCTGTAGACATGCTCATCGTCGGTGATGACCGGTCTCTGGTGCGCCAACACTGATTCTCCGGAAAAGCGAGTCATATCGATCCATAGGTTCGTCTATTTTGCTAGAGGTGCAATATTTGTTTCCCAGCGACATCCGTGAAAAGCGAAAGGTAAAGAAATGCAAACAAAGTCGTATAACGGCACGAGATCGGTTAAAAAACAAGATTCCCTTTTCCCTTCAATCAATTCCTTAACGCCCCGATAGAATCACTGGACGGCCTGGATCAGGGAGACGTTGTCGCCCTTGAGGAGGATTTGGCCTGTTGTAGAGTGGAACAACAGTCAGCAACTTTCCGTACGCACGAGCAGTTTGATCTCGCAATACGATTTCACATACCGAGCGGCCTCCGCTTCTCTTCCTCGGTCTTGGTAGCCATCCGAACCTCCACTGCATCGTCAACGACCAGGTTCATGAACTCATCGAAACCCTGTGCCGAAATCGTTAGCCGAGCGATCACAGCCACCAGAAACACAGGGTCAATTACCCGAATCTTCCCTTCTATCCGGAAAGCCAGCTGCTCGTAAAGCCAAATAGACACTGTTGACCGTTGCTGAAGAAGCTTGAAGATGAAATGAATAGGCGCAAGCAGCGTCTTGCGAGCAGCTCCACCGCCTCCACGGCCGGTCATGGTGGGCAAACGAAGTGCGCAAATGAAGGGAGTGGCTAAGTAAAGTGTAAAAGCGAGCGCAAGGATACCAAGATCCTAGCAAAGGCAGCTGTAGAAAATGACGCGTTGATGGAGTTGCGCGGGTATCGGAGAGAGAGAACTGAAGGAAGAGCTCCGTAAGTTCAGGACGGTCGGAATCGGGGAAGTTCGACGGAGGGAGAGGGAGGCTCACACAGCTTTTCCGTTTGGGTCGATCGTCAGTGACCACTCACTACATCCCACCTCCACCACCACCACTACTACTAAGTCAATCTTCCCCTCCCTTTCCCTTCACTTTCGCCCCTCTTCCTCCAAATCTTCCGCCACTTTTAGTTGAGGGTTTCCGCGCTTGTCTCTCATCTTTGAACTTTTTTTTTTTTTAATGTTATTTAATGAGTGTATATGATCGCACTGCATAGGTGTTAAGCCTTCCGGCCTGGCTGAACCCCTCTTTCTCCCAATTCCATTACACCAACTTCCTCCTCCCCCTCTCTGGAACATCCCACCCCCCGAGTTGACAAACGATGACGAGCAAGGAGGGGGCTACAGGGCAGGCCTTTGGCCCGGTCCTGGCCGCGGTCGCTACTATGCAAGGAAATGTGTCGCGCGCGGGAAAAACGCATGCCCATGAATTCCTAGAGAAATTTCAGAAATCGGTAGGTTATCCTACCCCTCATTCCGCCATCCTGAATCAAGTTGATGCCGCCCATGACCTCGATGCTGACCATTGCTGGGCTTGTGTCTCTAGGTTGAAGCTTGGACTATCACCCACGAAATGTTACAATCTCCGGATGTTCCTGTCGAAGCCAAGTTGTTCGCAGCGACGACGTTGAAAGGAAAGGTGAATTGGTACTCCGACCTGGGTCCAGCCATTCCTGCATGCTGACCCCAACAAGATCATCTTCGATCTCGATCAGTTGCCGACCGAATCTGTAGTCGCGCTCAGAGACTCTATCCTAAACCTGCTTGTGGGTTTCGCCGCCGGTCCTCGGCCAATTCAAACACAGCTATGCGTATGCTTGGCCAGTCTGGCCATCCAGATGCTTGCATGGAAGGACGTACTCCCTACCGTGGGCGCTGCACTGGGAAGTAGCGCCGGAGACTGCGTGTTGGAATTCCTAAAGATTCTCCCGGAAGAAGTAACGGAAGGCCGCAAGATCAATCTGAGTGTATGTTTGACACGAGAAACCCCCTTCAGACTGTTACTCTGCGATCGCGTGTCCCCCAGAACCTAACACTCCGTCATTACCTAGGAAGATGATCTCATTATGCGGACAAAAGAACTCCTGGAAGACAATGCTGAACAGGTGATGCACCTGTTGATTCAATACGCCCAGTCTTCACGTATGTAACATACCGCCCTGATATGTTCTTTTCTACAACGCTGACCACAATCGCTTCTGTCATTACACAGCAACTGCCTCTACTAACCCGCGCCTCTTGGATTGTATCACTTCATGGATGCGCGAGATTCCGGCCGCCAAGATTGTGGAGTCGCCTTTGATGGACGTCATTCTCAAGGGACTTGACGACGATAGATCTTTCGAGGCTGCAGTAGACAGCATGTGCACACTGTATCGAGATACCCGCGAGGTCGACGATTCGCTTGCCATTATCCAGGCCTTGTATCCGCGCATAATCTCACTCCGCCCCAAGATTGCTGAATTTGCCGAATCCGAGGATACCGACGCCTACAAAGGCATCACGAGACTTTTTGCAGAAGCTGGTGAAGCGTGGGTCGTGTTGATTGCACGCCTACCATCCGAGTTCCGTGGTCTGGTCGAGGCAGTTCTGGAGTGTTGCGCTCGGGATTGGGAACGAGACGCGATTTCGCTGACCTTTGTTTTCTGGTACGAACTGAAGCAGTACGTGACGCTGGATAGATACGCAGACGCCCGGGTGAATTTGAGCGACGTCTTCTCGCAGTTGGTGGACATCATGGTCAAGCACCTCGAATATCCTGGACCCGAAGAAGGCGAGACGGATTTGTTTGGAGGTGACCGCGAGCAGGAGGAGAAATTCCGGCACTTCCGCCACTCAATGGGAGATGTACTCAAGGATTGCTGCGCTGTCATCGGGGTCACCGAGTGCTTGACTAAAGCATACCATTTGATCCAGCAGTGGGTCTCCAAATATGCGTCGCAGTCCAGTGATGAGCACGTCCCACACTGGCAAGAGCTTGAGGCACCATTGTTCAGTTTGAGAGCCATGGGACGCATGGTGGATCCTGAGGAAAGCGTTGTCCTAACTCAAGTCATTCCTTTGATCGTGCAGATTCCCAACCAAGAGAAGGTCCGGTTCCAGGCTATCATGGCGCTTGCACGCTACACCGAGTGGACGGCACAGCACCCGGAGACTTTGGAGGCCCAGCTGAACTACGTCATTTCTGGGTTCCAGCATAGCTCTCCGGAAGTGGTCCAGGCTGCGGCTTTGGCCTTCAAGTATCTGGGAACCGACTGTCAAAAACTGCTTGGGGGTCACATTGCCCAGCTCCACACGTTCTATGAGTCCGTGATTGATAAGTTGAAGCCTGCGAGTCAAGAGGAGGTCACTGAGGGCGTGGCAGCAGTGGTTGCAGTGCAACCTCTGGAGAAGATCTATGACACCTTGAAATTGTTCTGTGATCCTATCATGGCTCGCATCATGAATTTAGCGAACAACGCTCAAGATGAAGAGAGCCAACGGGCTGTTGCTGGTAGGACGGACGACATGCATTTTATTGAGGGTGGCGCGCTGACTGAATTATAGATCACATTGGGCTGATTACCATCTTCGTCATGGTCGTGAACCCATATGTCTCTCCCCGTGAAGACAACCCCGCCGTGAAGTACTGTGGTGAGATTTTGCCCATCATGAGCACAATTGCGCTGAACTTCACATCATCCACACCAATCCTCGAACGAGTTTGCCGTTGCTGGCGCAATATGATCATCTCCTACCGAACTGCAATGACTCCTCTACTACCAACTTTGGCCCAGAGTCTTGCCAGTGGCTTCCAGGCGTCGCGAGAAGGATGTTTCTTGTGGGCCACTGATGCCGTTGTCCGCGAGTTTTCGGAGGGTGCTGAGTTTGTGGATGCGAACACAAGCCAGGCTGTCTTCCAGTTCTACGAACAGCAAGCAATTTCGTTCTTGCGCATCCTCAATGATTTGCCTCCGGAGAACCTACCTGATGGTACGTGTCTATCATCATCAAACGTCATTCGTGTCGCCTAGCTAATTATCTGCAACCAGTCATCGAGGACTTTTACCGTCTCTCGTCGGATGCGATCCGCTTCTATCCCAAGGAATGCATAACATCTGAGCTCTCGGTTCCCATTTTCTCAGCAGCCCTAAGCGCCCTCACCCTTCAGCAGATTGACCCTCTAATTGCCACTCTTCATTATTATCATGATCTGTTCAGCTTTGCATTCGAAAAGCCAGCGGTTTCCGAATTCACCACGTCTGATGGCAATACATATTCGACGCCAGTCGAAGTGCGTGAGGCAGTCAAACGGCTTATCGCATCCCAGGGTCAACTGCTTGTCCAGCGGATCCTTACAGGCATGATGTTTACCTTCCCTGGGGAGTGTTTCCCAGATGCCTCCGGCGTTCTGATGTCTATGTTCGAACTGATGCCCGAAGATGCGGGAACCTGGCTGCAGTCCACTTTGCAAATGCTTCCTGCAGGTACGATGAAGCAGGGTGAGGCTGAGCGTCTATTGAAGGGGCTGTTTGACAAGATTCAGTCGGGTGAGACCCGAAAGATTCGCGTCTTACTTCAAGGTAAGATCAAATCAACCATTGAATCATCGAGTCCCATAAATTGACTAGTACAGATTTCACCAATTCGTACCGCCGCCGAAATGTGGCTCCCAGAGACGGTCTGGGCCGACTTGAGGCCACCCGATTCAGATTCAGTGGATAGATGTTCAAATCGGAGGAGCTACGGGACTGAGCAGGTCAGGTCACAGCACCGCTAAGGATGTTGGGAGTGGCGCCCATCACCCACCGAAGCTCGGCTTCTGGGTCGGGGCGGACATTGACACGAACACATTGCGCGTCCACGGCATCTATCTGAGAAGATTCAGAATGCGTTTGTGCGTTGGGAATCATTCAGACTGCCCGTCATGTATTTTCTCACCCCAGCATCAGCATCGCCCATACACGGTTGCATCAGGTCGTTTTATAAGCATTCGCGGATGATGAGCGGCGACGACCCATCCGGGTGGGCAGCAAGCGGAAAAGGCAGCTTGCACGGTTACCCACTCTGTAAAAACGTGACACCATTAGTATTATAGTGTAGGAAACTTAGATATATTATAAGAACAATGGTCCGCCCGTGACTTGTAACGAACCACGAAATCGACACGAAATTGGGGCACATGTCACTCGTCTGACCTAAATATTGCGTTCAGTACGATAGTATTGTGATTGCGACCCTATCTCAGCTCAAAACCTAGCAGGCTCATATTAGTGGCATTCTTTCACATGGGTCTAGAGCACGGTTCATTTTAATCATGT